TGTCATGTTTTCTTAAAGTAGACATGATAATGGTATAATAGCATATAGGTGCTTAGGGCCTGGGAGTGAATAAATGGAATCACCTTTGTTGTCACGTTTGCTCCTCCAGTTAAGGCCTTGAAGAGATGTTTGTGTAGGTGATGATGAATAAAAATAACATCACTGATTGGGGGAATCACAAAATGACGGAGTGGGTCACATCTTGCCTAAAATCCATCAGTAACTATATTACTCTTCACATCATAAAAGGAGCTCTGGTGACAAAGTGATTAAAGCATTCATTTCTGACTAAAAGATTGGCAGTTTGAACCTACTAGCTCTGGTAGCATAGTGCCTAAGGCACTGGACTGCTAACCAGAGGGCTGGCAGTTCAAACCCACCAGCAGCTCCTCGGAAGGAAGATGGGGCAATCTGCTGCCATAGTGATACTGCCTTGGCAACCCAAGGAGGGGTAGCTACGAGTCGGGTCCAACTCGACAGCACATAACAACAACAACAATAGCTGCTCTGTGGGAGAAAGATGAGACAGTCCGGTTCTGTAAAGATTTACAGCCTTGGGAACCCTATTGGGCAGTACTACTCTAACCTAGAAAGCATCACTGTGAGTCAGAATTGACTCAGTGGCAGCAGGTGGTATTTGGTTTGGTCACATAATAACCAAAATCCATAATATGAGCTAGAAGATTGTGTGTTAATTTGTTCTTGATAATTCTTCAAACTCCTTTATTGCTTGCTTGCTCTTTGCTTTGTTTTTTGTTGTTATTGTTTGGTTTTTCTTTTAGTGCCCCGATTTCAGTATATTCCATCTACTCTCCAGGTCTGTTGTTACACTTGTCCTTTTACAAAGACTCTGTACACACACGTTATACATTATTCTTCCCATAACTTTTATTCAGCCTTCATCTTTAAATCTCATCATAAATATCACTTCCTCAGTGATGTAACGTTGCCCGAATTTGGTCAGGCTCCCTGTTTATATGTGCTCATTGCTCCCTGTATTTTCCTTCATGTATCACCATACCATAAGTTGCAGTCATATAGTTATGTGTGTGGTTATTGATAATTTATTAAAAAAAAAAAAAAAAACCAAACGCACTGCCATTGAGTCTGATATGACTCATAGCAACCCCTCCTTCGGTTTCCAAGGCGGTATCACTATGGAGGTAGATTGCCCAATCTTCCTTCCGAGGAGTGGCTGGTGGGTTTGAACCACCTTAGCAGTCAAATGCCTTAGGCACTATGCCACCAGAGCTTCTGATTTTTATCTAGTGAAGGAAAAAGGGTAAGCTCCATATAGGCATAGAATGACTTATTTTAGCCACCATTTTTTATTTCCAGTACTAGGCCTGGCACATAGTAAAGACCTATAAAATATTTTTGTAAGATCATTGAACATTTAATTTTTTACTAGAAATTGAAAACATCTTTCTATCTCTAATTTCTAATAAAAACTGACTTATAGTGAGGCAGGAGAATAATTAGGAATAACAGCATTTGATATATATTGTGGTATAAATCCTAACTGCTTACTACCTGTATGACCTTGTACAAATTCTGTGAAGGTTAATTTTGTTTCTCTTTAAATATAAGGAAAATAATTAACCATTTCTTTGGGTTTCAGAACTAAAATGAAAAATGATGCTTGCAAATGCTATTTATTAATGGTAGGGATGTGATAATTGTTCATTGCCATCCAGAAAAATGATTCAGACTAGAACTAGATGTTTTCTAAGGTATCTCTTACCTATAAAATTTTAAGATTCTATTTTTTAAAATCCTTATTACAATAGAAATATTTGCAAAATTTATTTTGATAGCATTGACCTGAAATCATATGGGAGAATAGTGAGGTGTTTTAAGTCTATATGACTAATGTTGGCTGTTTTCTGCTTCCCCAGTGCTGCATGTGCAGCAAAGACTCAAATACTTGTTGTCCACCCCCACCCCCATCTTTGGTTTGCTTTATTTATTTTTTTAGAAACATTTTTTATAGTCAAAAGAATATGTCTTATGTATATATCGTTTGTATGCATAATAGTAAAACAAACACCTGTGAACCTACTATCCAGCTTAAGAGCTTGAAACACTACCAAACCCACTGCCACCAAGTCAATTCTGATTCATAGTAACCCTGTAGGACAGAGTTGAACAGCCCAATGGAGTTTCCAAGGCTGTAAATCTTGACAAAAGCAGACGCTTCATCTTTCCTGCTCAAAATGGCTGATGGGTTTGAATCGAACAGACCTTTTGGTTAGTAGCCGAATGCTTTGACAGCTGTACCACCAGTGCTCCCTCAGGGCCCTAAAGCTCTCATGTCCTTGCCTTGCCCAGAGGTAGCCCTCTATTGTGATTTTTTTCCCCCCATAATCCTTGATTTTCTTCTATTTTTCCACACACAAATTTCCCTAAAATTGTTTAGCTTTGCTTGTATTTTAATTTAACAAAAATGGTATTGTGGTATTTATTGTATGAATTGTTTTTTGTGTGTGATTTAGATCAAAGTTTACAGGGCAAATTGGTTTTCCATTCAACAGTTCGTATACATTTTGTTTTGTGACATTCATTGCAGTCCCCACAATGTAGTAATAGCATTTTTCTCACTTCTCCCTTTGTTTACCATTTCCCTTGGTCCTTCTTTCCTATCCCTTCCTGCCTTCTTAGCTTATATCCCTGGGCAGATGTTGCCCTTTTGATCTCATATGGTTGACTATTAGGAGCTCTGGTGGCATAGTGCCTTAAGGCATTTGACTGCTAACCAGAAGTCTGGCAGTTCAAACACACCAGCCACTCCTCGGAAGGAAGACTGGGCAATCTACTTCCATAGATATACTGCCTTGGAAACCCAAGGAAGAGGGGGGTCGCCGTGAGTCAGAATCAACTCAACGGCAGTGAGTTTGGAGTTTGGTTTTGGTTGATTGTTATAATGACTATAGACCTTCCTGGTATTTATTGTTCACTTCATAGGTCTATCTGTAAGTCTGTGAAGTCTTCAAACTTACACTAAATTTTTAGTTTGCCTGAATCAGAATGAGAATTTATAGCTTTCATAGTGAACAAGACAAATTTAGTTGCTGCTCTCATAGAATTTATATTTTTATAGGGGAAGAGAGACAATGAGTAAACAAATAAAAATATAAACAAGAAAAATACAGTTTATAGATAATGGAAATGTTTTGCAAATAATTTAGAGCAATGTAACAGTGTGATTTAGAGGTTATTTTAGAGTTTGAGTGGAATTTAAGAAGGCTTCTGAGGAGTTGACATTTTTTGTGACATATGAATGATAAAGAGTACCCTCCAATTCAGGGATTAGGTAGTTAGAATAGCTAGTGGCAAGACTGTCAGATGGGAACAAACTTCACTTGAGTAGCTGTTGGCTTGTGGGGTGATGAGAACAAGTGATGAATTTGTGGGAGTAGTTACAGGTTTTATCAATTAGGGCTTTCACAATCACAGTAAGAAATCTGGGATTATTTGAAATACAATGGGAAGCCATTTCAGGGTTTTAAACTGGACAATGATGATGATAAAAGGAGTCTCAAGGTAGTCCTGACAACATTTAGAGTTTAAGAAATCAGAGAAGACAATGAGGTGGGAATAAGGGGAGTGGGGTTCCTTGATACTTCCAAGAACTAGGGAGTGGCTCTGTTTCAAATCTAGCTGAGAAGGCAAGATTAGAATGATAACCTATTTACCTGCGACAAGTTTGCTGTAAACACAGAATGGCTGTGAAGTCAGTAGGTATTAGGGAATGCAGCTCTGTGATACGGGTTTAAACCAACTCCAATACCTTAAACCTTACATTGTTTTTTTAATGAAACTACAAATAGTTTTCCCTTCTTTATGTTTAACCTCTGATCTATGGGTAGTAATGTGCTTAAGAATTTGGGCTCTTGAGCCAGAGTATCTCCAGATTAATAGCTCTTTTTTTTTTTTTTAGTTTACTTAGCCTCTCTAAACCTCCCTCTCTCTTATCTGTAAAGTGGGATAATGATAAGCACAAAAACAAACCACTTACCATTGGATTGATTCTGACTCATGACAGAGTAGAATTGCATTTCATAGTGTTTTCATGGCTGTGACCTTTCAGAAGCAGAAAAAAACTCACTGCTGTGGAGTTGATCCCAGCTCACAGCAACCCTCCTCCTTGGGTTTCCGAGGCAGTATCTCTATGGAAGTAGATTGCTCTTGCGAGGAGTGGCTGGAGGGTTTGAACCACCAGCCTTCTGGTTAGCAGTCACTAGCCTTGGGCACTATGCCACCAGAACTCCCAGATACATCTTGGGTGAGTTTGAACTGCCATCCTTTTGGCTAGTAGCTGTACATTTAATCATTTGCACCACCCGGGGACCAGGATAATGTTGGGTGCTGTCAAGTTCCTTCAGACTTATAGTGACCCTACAAGACAGTTGAACTGCCCTGTAAAGTTTCCTAGGCTGTAAATAATTATGGGAACAGATTGCTAAGTCTTTTCTCCTTGAACTGCTGACCTAAAGTAGCCAAGCACCTAACCATTATAACTCCTTTAGGATACTGATAGTGCCAACCTTGTATAGTTTTGTTCTGTGTAAGACATTTAACATAATATTTGGTGAATAGCTCTATAAACAATAAAAATTATAACGATATGCTGTAATATTTGTATTTTGTGCTCCTTTTTGTTTGTATAGTTTTTAGTGATTAAGAAAATAAAATGTTAGTTTTTTTCTTTACTCTGTGATTAATTAACATTTTATATGGATGATTGGAATGGAAGACTGTAAGGTAAGACTGAGTTTGTGGTTGCTTTCAACAGTTGAATTGAAAAGGAAGACATTTTCAATTTTTCCTTTTTTATTTTCCAGGTTATATTTCACACTATGTGCTGACTATATCTATGGAAGATATTTAATAGTAAACAAACAAACAAACGACAAACTTTTTTCAAAGATTTTGATTCCAGTGGAATCTTTGCTTTAGATTTTTTTTGTGTGTGTTAGTAAATTGTAACTCCAGAAGCAATGCCTGTACAAGCTCCACAATGGACGGATTTCCTCTCCTGCCCAATTTGCACTCAGACTTTCGACGAAACAATTCGAAAGCCCATCAGTTTGGGCTGTGGCCATACTGTCTGCAAGATGTGCCTGAATAAACTCCACCGCAAGGCTTGCCCATTTGACCAGACCACTATCAATACAGACATTGAGCTCCTCCCTGTGAACTCAGCATTGCTGCAGCTGGTCGGTGCTCAGGTAAGGTGAATGACTTAATACTTTCTAATTTTTCTCTTTGTGTATTCCTCCTAAGAGAAGCCTGTTGAATTAAAATTGAGTAACCTACCCTTTTCTTCATAAAAAATTTTATTGTGATTTGGTTGACAGTTCACAGAGCAGACTGGCTTTCCATTCAACAGTTCATCACATTTTGTTTCTGGACATTGATTGTAATCCCCACAGTGTAACAGCTCTCTTCCCACTTCTTCTCTGTGTTTACCATTTCCCTTGATCTTTCTGTCATTTCCCTTCCTGCCTTCTGAGCTTTATCCCTGGGCAAATGCTGCCATTTTGATCTCTTAAGGTTGATTGGTCTAAGGAGTGCATACCGCCCTGGTGTTGCTGTTCACCTTATAGGTCTGACTGTTGTTTGGCTGAAAGATGAGCCCTGGGAGTGAGTTCAGTTCCTGGCTTGAAGGGTGGCTTGAAGAGCAATAGTCTTGAGGGTTCTATCCGTTTCTATCAGACCAGTAAGCCTGGTATTATTATTTTGAGTTTTGTTCCACATTTTTTTACTACTCTATCCAGGATCTCTTAACCCTTTCAGAGTAGTTGTCAGTGGTTGCTGGGTACCATCTAGTTTTTCTGGTATCAGAGCCTTGGAAGCCGAGGTTCACATGGTTCACTTCTCCCTTGGACTAACTTCTTCCATGCATCTTTGATTTTCTTCATTCTTCTTTGGTCTGATCAAGAAGAGACCACAGGTTGCACCTTGAATTGTCACTCTCAAGCTTTTAAGACCCCAGTTAATACTCATCAAAGTAGGATATATAGAACAGTGTTTTTGTGGGGTTGTATTATGCCAGTTGTCTCCTGAGACTGTAATCCTGAGCCTGAAGGCACAGCTACTCCCTCCTTAAGGTGTTTGGTTATGGCTAAGAAGCTTTCATAACTTTGCCCCGTTAGCTCTGTTGTGTTGTTGTTATGTGCCGTCGAGTCGGCCTCGACTCATAGTGACCCCTCCTTGGGTTTCCGAGGCAATATCACTGCAGAAGTAGATTGCCCAACCTTCCTTCCGAGGAGGGCCTAGTGGGTTTGAACTGCCAGCCTTCTGGTTAGCAGTCAAGTGCCTTAGGCACTATGCTACCAGAGCTCCTCTGTTAGCTCTACTATATGTGTGTGTGTGTGTGTGTGTAGACATTTTTACATCATGTACAGATACATATGTAGAACTGTTGTCTGCCAACTACGTATATGGTCATAGTTATAGTCTTATTCGTGTCTCCATAACTGATCATCTTGCCTGTCTACTTCTGTATCTACTTGTAGATTGATATTTGTCATTATTGATAAACTCATTGCCACCGAGTCAATTCCGAGACATAGCAACCCCCATTGGGTTTCTGAGGCTGTAAATCTTTACGGAAGTAACTTACCCCATCTTCCATAGAGCAGCTGGTGGGTTTGAACTGCTGACCTTCTAATTAGCAGACAAATGCCTTATCCACTGCATCACCAGAACTCCTTTGTTATTACAGGTAATGGAGTATAAAACCCAAAACCAAACTTACTGCGATTGAGTTGATTCTGACTCATAGTGACCCCTGTTGGATTTCCAAGGCTGTAAATCTTTACAGAAGTACATTGCCTCATCTTGTTCCTGTGAAGCAGCTGGTGGGTTTGAACTACCAGCCCTTTGGTTAGCAGCCAAATGCCTTTCCAGCTGCACCACCAGAGCTCCTTACAGTGTAGTATAGAGTATTTAATAGCAATCTACTTCCGTAGAGATACTGCCTCAGAAACCCAAGGAGGGGTCGCTATGAATTGGAACCAATTCAATGGCAGTGAGCTTGGTTTGGTTTTTCTTGTCTGTAACTCTTGTGCACCTCCATAGTGCTTTTCTTTAGTGATATTGTGCTAGTCACCCACTTTTTATATATTGTCTTTCTTTTTGTGTATGTGTGTCATTTGGGGGAAGTATACAAAGCAAATTAGTTTTCCATTGAACAGTTCATAAAAATTTTATTTCATGACATTGATTGCAATCCCCACAATGTAACAGCTCCCTTCCCACTTCTTCCATGTGCTTGCCTTTTCTCTGTATCCTTTTTTCCTATGCTTTCCTGCCCTCTGAACTTGCTCCTTAGTACATGCTACTCTTCTGATCGCCCATGATTAGTTGTTCTAAGGAGTGTTCCTAACTGCTATAGTTGTTCACTTCACAGTCCTGTCTGTTGTTTGGCTAGAACTTAAGCCACAGAAGTGAGTTCAATTCCAGGCCTGAAGGGTGACTAGAGACCATAGTCTCAGGGGTTTCACCAGTCCCTTTCAGGCCTGGTTTAGTGCCTAAGGCATCTGACTGCTAATCAGAAGGCTGGTGGTTCAAACCCACCAGCCACTTCTTAGAAGGAAGGTTGGACAATCTACTTCCGTAGAAATACCACTTCGGAAATCCAAGGAGGGGTCACTATGAGTTAGAACCAACTAGTTGGCCATGAGTTTGGTGTTTGCTTTTTTTTTTAAAATCAGGCCAGCATGCCTGCTCTTTTTTATGATTTTGAATTTTATTTCACATTTTTCTCCCGCTCTATCCATGATCTCCTATTTTGATTCCTTTCTGAGTGGTTGACAGTGGTAGGTGGGCATCATCTAGTTCTTCTAGTCTCAAGGTCATGAAGGCAGAAGTTCCTTCCAATGCATCTTTGATTTTCTTCATTCTTTTTTGCTCTTGATGCAGAGAGACCAGTTTTTGCATCTTAGATGGACACTTGCATAGTTTTCAGACCCCAGTCATTATGTACCAAAGTAGGATGTAGATCAGTATTTTTGTGTAGTATGTTTTGTTTTTTAATATTTATTTTATTTTTGCAGTGTTTTCTCCTTCTCCTCACACCCCTGGTAGCCAACAAAAAAAGTTTCTTTCCATACATAAACCTTTCCTTGACTTTTTGCATTAATAAACTAACATAATATTTGTCCTTCTGTGATTAACTTATTTCTTCAGCATAATGTCTTCCAAATTCATCCACGTTTTGCAGTGTTTTGTAATTTGTGTAGTATGTTTTTTCAGTTGAGCTTGGTCCCCTGAGATCATGGTCCTGACCCATAGACCCAGTGACTCATTCCCTTAAGGTGTTTGGTTGTGACTAAGAAGTTATCATAACTTTGTCCTATTAGCTCTGTTATATAAATGGACATTCTTACGTTGTCGTTATTGTTAGGTGTTATGAAGTCAGCTCAGACTCATAGAACTCTGCGTACAGCAGAAGAAAACACTGCCTGGTTGTGCACTATCCTCAAAATCATTGCTATACTTGAGTCCATTGTGGCAGCCACTGTGTCAGTCCATTGTGTTGAGGGTCTTCCCCTGTTTCTTTGACCCTCCATTTTACCAAGTTTGATATCCTTCTCTAGGGAATGGTCTCTTCTGACAACATGACCAAAGTAGATGAGAGGAAATCTGGCCATTCTTGGTTCCAGGGAACATTGTGGCTGTACTTCTTCCAGGACAGATTTATTCTTCTCACAGTCAATGTATTTTCAGTATTCTTCACTACCACCAATATTCAAAAGCATCAACTCTCCTTTGGTCTTCTTTATTCATCGTCTGAGAGCTCTGGTGGCATATTGCCTAAGGCATTTGACTGCTAACCAGAAGGCTGGCAGTTCAAACCCACCAGCCACTCCTCGGAAGGAAGGTTGGGCAATCTACTTTCGTAGTTATACTGCCTTAGAAATCCAAGGAGGGGTTGTTATGAGTCAGATCCAACTGGACAGCAGTGAGTTTTTTAGTTTTTTTTTTTTAATTTTTGTTTCATTGTCCAGTTTTCACATCCGTATAAGGTGACTGAAAATATCATGGCTTGGATTAGGCGCACCTTAGTCATCAAAGTGACATCTTTGCTCTTCAGCACTTTAAAGAGGTATTTTGCAGAAGATTTGCCCAATGCAATACGACCTCTGATTTCTTGACCGCTGTTTCCATTGGTGTTCATTGTGGACCTAAGTAAAATGAAATGTTTGACAACTTCAATCTTCCCTTCATTTATCATGATATTACTTATTGGTCCAGCAATGAGGATTTTCATTTTCTTTATGTTGAGGTGCGATCCATACTACAGACTGTAGTCTTTAGTGTTTGTCAGAAAGTGCTTCAAGTCGTCTTCACAAACAAGGCTGTGTTGTCTGCATATCACAGGTTGTTAATGAACCTTCTACCAATGCTGATGCTACATTTTTCTTCATATAATCCAGCTTCTTGGATTATTTGCTCAGCATACAGATTGAATAAGTATAGTGAAAGGACACAACCTGCTGCACACCCTTCCTGATTTTGAACCATGTAGTATCCCCTTGCTCTATTCCAACAATACCCTCCTCATGTTCCTCATGAGCACAATTAAGTGTTCTGGAATTCCCATTGTTTGCAATGTTACCCATAAATTGTTATGATTCATACAGTCTAATGCTGTCAACGAAACACAAAAAAAAACATCTTGTTGGTTTTTTTTGCCATTGTTCCATATCTTCTAAAGCTAGCTTGCATTTCTGGAGGTTCCCTTTCAATATACTGCTGGAACTGTTTTTAATTATCTTCACCAAAGTTCACTTGCGTGTGATAATTAGTGATACTGTCAGTAATTTCCACATTCTGTTGTATCACCTTTGTTTGGAATGGGTACAAATAAAGATTTCTTCCAGTCAGTTGGCCAAGTAGTTGCCTTCCAGGTCACCTAGAATAGACGAGTCAACCTCCAGGGCTGTTATCATTTGTTGAAACATCTCAATGAATAGTCTGTCAATTCCCGAAGCCTTGTTTTTCACCAATTCCTTCAGTGCAGCTTTGACTTCTTTCTTCGGTACCGTTGGTTCTTGATTATATACCACCTCACCTCCTAAAGTAGTTGAAGGCACTCTGGTGGCGTAGTACCTAAGGCATTTGACTGCCACACTCAGCTCCTGGGCTTGTTTTGGCTAAAGATACTGAACTGCTCTACTGCCTCTTTCCATAGATGTAGTCAGTTTGATTCCTGTGTATT